GCATTGACAATCTTATTTTATGACCATAACGATGCAAATTTCAAAAAAAAATACAACATTGCTGATGAATCCGTAGCAAACACAAACGAAAATGCTTATTTGATGCCATTTCCGATCGATTTAGCAAAAAAAAGGAGAAAATGTTAATAAGACAATCTTCGAAAGTTCAAAAAATGGTGAGAAAACCTTGAAAAAACTGAAAAATTAAACTACGTGCACACAATGAATATCACACAAACGAAAAAAAACGTTGTTCTCAAGCAAAAACTGACCATTTTAGGCGATGTACATCCACTTTTAAACCCATGGGGTCCTATATACTGTGATACTAAAACTGCGAGAAAATGAAAAAAAAAGCGAAAAAAATGAAGTTCCAATTTCGTTCAAAAAATAAAAAATGTCCGTTTTGACGAAATCGTAGTTGGGGGTGCATGGTGATACCGTGGCAGTCCAATGGTTGGGAAGGGGTGCCTTGTAGGGAAACCAATGCCGAATTAAGGGGTGTATCCTACTTTCGTTGGCTGTAGACCCATTCAGGTTAGGAGTGAGTTGGCAGCAGTTGGTCGAGGGTAGTTGATGATGGACGAGGTCTCCTCCAATACCACTGGTCAATTCTCCCTGGTGAATATCAATGTACACACACACAGTTAGATACTAGTGGAGGTGATACGAGCACCTCTCACTAGTACGCAGTACTAAATTCGTAGAGGCTCCATGGTGGGGAGCAACATATAACCATACATATATAGCTCACGGGCACACATCCATGATACACAAACACACATGCATCACAAACGGCTTGGTGGAGGTCACGCAGGGGCCAATGGGTGATTGTTAGAGCCTGGCGTCTGAAGTACCCGTATGGCAAGGCTCGTTCGACTATGCTTCAACCAGGGCTAGGTCGCTAGCCCTGGTGCCTGTCGCTGCTGTTCGGTCCAAGTCCCCCTCGATACTGGTAGGGTGACGGTCCTGAGTGCTGGGCACACTAAGGTAGGATAGTAGGGATAGGGGATACGCTAGGAGTATCGACGTGAGGTTGGGATGGGTGGTGGCCTCGCCTTCTCAGAGTGACCAGGGTAGACTACTTCCGGCAATCAACGTGTGCCTAGTAAGCGGCCTCTACAACACCCTGGACTTTCAAAAAAAAAGAAAAAAAAAAAAAAAAAGAAAAAGGGACGCTGGACCCGATTTCCAGCAGGTGTAGCTCCCCACCAATAGATGGAGCCTTCGACGCCGGGACCTACTTACCGGGGATGCTCTTATCACCTCGTTAAGTAGGTTTCCCGTATAGCGAAGTTTCACCTTAAAAAAAAA